TTTAGAAAATTGAGCATTTAGAAGAAAAAGTATCTTGGCCAAAACTGTAAAATTCTAAAATTTGAAGACATTTTAAAAATATTATTAAAGCGTTTGTGGACGCCTGTTACATATGGAATTTTTCCATATTTGGGCAGGGACTATTTACCCTGAATTTATGGTACTTATTTCTTAGACCCCCTGTATATAACTCTAACCGTTACTAACGTTATTTGAATATAAACATAATATGTATTATTATATTTTATATGTAAAGGTAGTATATTATTACCTACTCTACACATTTAACTGAATCCAATGTGGTAGTTCCTCAGGCAACCGACAATACAACGCAGCATACAGGGCGTGTAATAGAGTGAGACAAGAAGTCAACAGAGAGAGAGTAGAGTAGCCTCTGTGATCTGTGGTCAACAACAACAACATTTTTGATTGAGGACAAGGCAAAAATTAACAAAAGCGTTTTTATGTTATTTAGCTTGAAACGCCAGCCACAAACTAAGCAAAATAAAATAAAATCGCGAACAAATAAAGGGATACCAGACCTCTATGATCTGTGTCAGTTAGCAATTAACCTCACTTTGTAAGGCTACTCGAAAAACCAAAACAAGAAAATGAATTTAAAAGATTTACCAGAATCAACTGTAAAACTGGTGTCGAGTTTTCCAAAGGAACATGCTGGAAAAATTCTAAAACGTATTGCAGTTGTCTTCTATCCTGTAGGAATTTTAGTTTCATTCTAATCTCAATTATTTTCTAGTTGCTTTGGCCAGTCTACAGCCCCAAAGACAGAATCTGATTAAACCCATAGAAAAATTGGCCATTGAAAGAAATATACCCATGGAAAATCTATATGAAATATTGAGTGTTTATATCGGAATTATTAGATTATTTGTGCATAGCACAGATAAAGATTTTGTTGCTACGCTAGCCGATTTAGGATTTCCAAATGATTTTATGGCAAGTCTGCCATTTGTAGACAATAGAAAGGAGCTGGAGGACACGTTTTTCGTGCCAAATTATGATAATTTTCGAAATGTGTCCAGCATGAAATGGAGAATAGATATCAGTTTACTAAATAGGTACGTACTTATGCACTCAAGTCCTGCCAGTTTAGTTCACTATTCAATATTTTCAGCGCACTTACGACTAAAACACCACCCAGTGTGATACTTTCGATAACGCTCAAAAACGGGAAATCATATACAATCGAGTTAAATCCCAAAGCATTTCATTTGTTAAGATTTAATGTTGCGCGGTTACTAAGAGAAATGAAATGCCTGCAACTGAATTAAAATTGGCAGATAGATCATCAAAATAAAAGAACATGTCATATAGTGGACTCATGTATTAATAACTTGCTTAAAATATATTTTATTTATATAACAACGCATTTTATTATGTAACAGCTTGAAATTAGTTTAATAAGAATACCCTCAAACTTATCTGTTGGATGGCACATCCCAAAGCAGAACTGTAAACACCCACATATGTAATATCACCTAAAAGACAAAAAAACACATTACAAAGCCCACATAACTTATCTCAACTTACCATATAAGAAAATACAAATACTCTAGCCAAAGGATATCGTCTTAAGAAGATTCCAGTTCTAACACTGATTGCATCTAGAGTTGAATAAGCGCGTTTAACTCGTCGCGTCATTCCAGCATCATGTGGTAAAACCCTCATGAAATTGGGTACTAAAACGCTGTCTGTAAATAAAAACTCTAATAAACTTTTACAGTGGTTCCAAACATTAAACCAACCATCATTTGAATCTTGTACATTGATTATTTTCACCCGGTCTCTCTTCAGTTCAGCGACATTCCTCTTGAACTCTGCCTGAAATATTTCTTTTACATATAATCCACTTCTAGAGTGAAATAACTGACCTCAAGTTTCTCCAGCTGCAGCCTTAAAGCATTTCTTTCAGTAGTAACAGTTTCTAAATTATTTTGCTTAAGCATCAATGTCTGTGTCAAAGACTTTATTCTGTTTTCAAATTCATCATTTTCAGAGCATTCAGATTTTCTATGCAATGCTTGACGATATTTCATTACTTCTTGATTTGCTTGATTTAAACTGCTTTGCAACTCGATTATTTCTTGTGATTTCTTTTCCAGCTCCTACATTTTTGAAAAGTAATAAAACATTTACCTTAATCATAAGAGGAGTACCTTAATTTTCTGGGAACAGTCTTCTTCTGCAATTGATCTAAGCTTTTTCTCGCCGAGAAGATTTTGTTCTAGTAACTGATTGGATTTGTTTAAGCCCTGTTGAATGACCTGATGTTGCATTTGTAGTGACTGTAAGTCGTTTAGCAGTTTAATGTTTTTTTGGTTTAATTCTGACACTTTTCCTTGTTGGAATTCTAGCTCCTTTCTGAAAAACATAATGAAGCCCAGTTAATATAAAGTGAAAGCATATACGTCTCTGCTTACTTTAGCTCTTCGTTGTACGATGCAAAAATGTCATTATTAACCGTCTCATTATTATCACTTGTCTGCTTCATGGTTATTAATTTTTCCTTTTCCTGTAACACTCTCTGCGCTCTAGCAATATATTGCTCTTTCTCATGCTGAGTCGAAGCAAGCTGTTCATTTAATCTCTCCACTTGGAATTGCAGATTAACATTTTCATTTCTCACTTCAGAGTATAAATGCTGAATGTTGAGAAGTTGCTTATTAACATCTTGGTTTTCTTGCTCCAATTTGGCTACTCTAGCCTGGAATTCTTCTAGTTCCTGGCTCACCAGAAAACTGTTGTGAAATGAATTGGAAGATACAGATGTATGATTACTTTTCACTGACTTGTCAGTTTTGCTTTCTTCAATGGCAGCCCCTACAATCACAATCAGTTACTGTCTGATTTTTAAATAGAAACAAATCTGACCTGTTCGTTGGTTCTCGCACACAGATGTGAATACATCTGGACTGCTCTCAAGTGGACCTTCTAAAGGAATATCGGGCGTTGGAGACCTGGAATTTCTCACAGGCCCTCGAAATTTTTCAGGCTCCTTCTGTAGTTCTCGGGCTATCCTAAAAACAGCAAAGTGAAACCTGGGACGCAAGTTAAGACGCTGATTCAGCCTCACTCTTCATCAAAGCTTTGCTTGTTTCCATCATTCAAAACCGTTGCAGCATTCTGGTCAATTTTGTTTAGCAGATTCTCTGCATGTCCAGCCAGATTTTGAAGCCATGCCATTGTTCAATTAGTTGATTTAATAGAGAAATAACATCTTCCCCGTTTGTTATTCTTACTTTGCTTATATTGTTGACGTATGTTTATAGGTTAGAGCCATATTTTTAATCCTCTGCAGCGTTGCCAGGTTCGAAAATCGAGTTTCAGTAGATAAGCTCGACTTACAGCGAATAGTGATTTTGTTTATCATAACTTCATTTTAGTTTTGTAATTCGGGATATTTATAGTTTCAGTGTCAAAAATACCAGTACATATCTATGCAATTGCTTTGTCTGTATTTTTTTATCCCATAACCCTAATCAAATATGGTATTTGTTCTTTTTCAAAAGTACCTTTGAAAATAACAAAAACATCGACAAACATAAATTTAAAGACATTAAATTATTTGCCCTTTTATTTTTAAATCTACAGTTTTTTTCCTATCCATTCTACTACTTTCGGAGTTCATGGTTTGGCAACGCTGAGTCTGTGTAGTGAGGTTATAAATTTGTTTATGATTGTTTTTGCTATATCTCTGGTTATATTTTTTAATTTTATTTGTGTTGTGCAATCATTTATTCGTTGCCTACTGAACTGCAGGATTGGTGAGTTGATCACATTTTCATCTGTATATTAAACCTTGTTGTATAGGTTACCGTTTTGTTCAAATTTCGTGAAAATCAGGAAACGTGTGGGTGGATTGTTACTTTACTATCTTATTAATTAATTGTTTTTGATATGTTTCATAAGATTTATTTTACACAATTAATATATTTATGATTTATGTCAAATTTTTTGAGCATGTTCTAGTTTATCGGGCCTTCGCGTAATTGTGCGCTTATCCTGTTACTAACAAACTTTCTAAGAGGTGATTCTTGTGGAAATGCAGTTTTCGACCTGTTTTTGCTCAGTGAAATTCAATACAGAAACAACATAGTCGACATGTCGAAAAGACAAATTAGAAGCGTCAGATTTAAATAATCGACATTTTTGCCCCATTTAAAGCCGTTTTTCAATGTTCACTATTTAACCGACGACATCTTCCTTATTACGCATCCAAATGCTTTGTATATATTGGGGAGTTTCTTAGATCGGAAACAATCCATTAAACGCAAAAACCACGCATGTGAAATTTTGATTTTTACCGAAAACTTCATACGGGGTGGAGGTCGATTTAAAAAAAAATAAAAATTCTTTCAATATGCCTCTAGTTCTACACCATTTTCATCTGATTAAAGCTAATAATGTAATTAGCTGGTTGTAAGATACGGTCAAAGCCTTAGGTCCAAAATAATCGACATTTTCGGCCCAGTTATACAGTTTTTGAGCGGTCACGATCTTTAACCGACGATATATTCCTTATTACGCATCCAAACACTTGATATATGCACATTGGGGAGAGTCTTAGATCTGAAACAATCCATTGAGCGCAAAAAACACGCATGTGAAATTTTTATTTTTGACCGAAAATTTCATAAGGGGTAAGGGTCGATTTTTTGAAAAAATGATATTTCTTTTAAAATGCCTCGAGTTCTACATCATTTTCATCTGGATGAAGCGAATAATGTAATTAGCTGGTTGTAAAACACGCTAAACACCTCAGATCCAAAATAATCGACATTTTCGGCCCAGTTATGCAGTTTTTGAGCGGGCACGATCTTTAACCAACGATACATTCCTTATATTACGCATCCAAACACTGTATATATGCACATTGGGGAGAGTCTTAGATCTGAAACAATCCATTGAGCGCAAAAACCACGCATGTAAAATTTTTCGAACGGTCGATTTTTTGAAAAAATAAAGTCTTTCAAAATGCCTTGAGTTCTACATCATTTTCATCTGAATGAAGCGAATATTGTAATAAGCTGGTTGGAAAACACGCTAAAAACCTCAGATCCAAAATAATCGATATTTTTGGCCCAGTTAAGCAGTTTTGGACTTTGGAGCGATCACGATATTTAACCGATGATATATTCCTTATTATGCATCAAAACACGTTATATATGCACATTGGGAGCTTCTTAGATCTGAAACAATCAATTGGACGTCAAACATTTTTGACCGAGTATTGCGAAGAATACACCGAACTCATTGAAAATCATGAAAGAAACTTCCATATATCCAAATAATAAAAATAACCGGAAAATCTCGAGTTTTTATGGCATAATCGTCACTACTGCCTTCACCAAGAGGGGTGGTTAAAAAGGCAAACCCTTTCTTCAGCATTTTGCATCTAGAACGCTATTTACATTCACGTTATTCAGCAACAGTAATTTTTTGAAGTAAACAAATAAAATATGCGAATAATTGTAAGTTTGTGGCTAGAGGGTCAGCGACAGTGACAAATAATTAAAAAATGCCCTCAGATAATTAATTGTCCGTTCAGAACCAACAGCGTATCAAACCATAGAAACAATACAAAGGATTTACAAAAAGGCATTTTAGAGTCGTCACCCCTTTTTCACGCCTTTAAAATATTAATCTGATTTTAAAGAGACCCTTCCAAGGGCTTTTTTTTCGACAGTTACTTGATCTGTGGCTGACAGACGTACATATTATTAATGCGACTGTTATGACCACAATAGGGTTTAATTACATTTTTAAACCATGGTAAATTTTAACGTTACAATAGTTCAAAAAAAATCTGCGTACAATATATGGCTTAAAGTTCAAGCTTCAATTTTATCTTTTCATGGCCATAGAAATTTGGTTTTACTATTGTGGTGTTAATAGAATGTAAATGTTCATGACCAGGGTTGATTAGAACGAACCATTGAGCGTAAAAGTCTTTCACTCCTTGAGTAAAATGACCCATTTTATGCCTAAAAATGTGCGCCCACTCCTCATTTTCTTTGAAATTTCCTCCATAGAATACAAATTCCGTGGTCATTTCAAAGGGCCGAGTGTAAGAATAGGGAAATAATGATTATGAATTTATAAAGCATTCGTAACGGCATCATTGACTGCATTAGATCAAAATTGAAATATGAAAATGTCCATGTGAATAGGAAAGTTGATTTAAGATCGAAAACAATTGGCTGATTTTGCATTTTACGATGCGTGAAGAAGCCAGATGCCAGCCATTAATTTCTGTTTAGATTCAATTATAAGGGTGAAATGGGACATTGCGTAAATTGACCACTGTCCATCCGACTGCTACTGCCCTTACACGGTCCATTGCATTCTGGGCTAGTGAAGTGCCCTTCAAATCGCCTCTCATAATAAGAACGCGTGCTACTCAATACTCTTAGGATTAAACTTATTCAATTTCCTATTCAATGTTTCTGTGCACGCTATTTAAATATTTGCAAGTAGAAGACGGATTGTTTGAGTATTTCCCATTCTGAAACAAGTGTCATGCAATAAATCGCGTCACCTACGTTATGGGAGAACTAAACAATTACATTGCAAATAATCGTAAACAGGTCCATAAACAAACTATATTATTTGTTGAAGTAATGCTTTTGGCTATTAATGAATTAATTAGTTCGATGATTCTAGCGTAGTGAATTCCAATAGGAAAACCACAGAGAATCTTCAGTTGTGTCTTTTTCCAAGTACTCTGAGAAGTGTCGTAATTGTGACCAATCTTAGTCAATGTTGGAGCCTTCAAAGGTTTTTGATTGTAAGTAGGTACAAGATGGGCTAATCTCAGGCAAAATCAGCTGATAAGAGCTAATAGGCCCGAAACCGGTCCTGGACGTGCCTGAGATGAGCGCTAGTTACATCAACAACCTTAGCCCAATTTCTTCTGAGCTCCAGTTTACACTTGCATTGCCAGGGATTAAGTTTATCTCATTAGCAAACTGCACTTTTCATGTTTATCGGATGCATGCTTACCATTGGCAAATGCGCTTTCTATTTTTGGCTAATTATTGTTTCAAGTGTCTTGTTCAAATAAAATCAATGTCTTCCGTTCACTGAGTTTTTCATTGTAATTTCCTTTGTGCTAATATGTTAGCTGGATATGAGGGTTACTTAAAAATGTTCCTGCACTAATAAATATTATTTGCTCTGTTTTATGAGTCACTCTAATTCTTTCTCCGCATATCAAAGTGCTATGTTTCACAAAGACTTTGAGTCCTGTGTGACGTAATGGACGCGTGCTTCGCACGTGACTTCATCCATTCAATTGTTTCCGTTTCTAAGACCAGCACGTGACAAAAATGGCTGACTTTAATACTTTAAATATTTTTGCTGTGGGATTTCAATCGAAAATTGAAAAGAGCGTTATTAGATGTTAAATACTGCAACTCAAAAGGCGGTTACTCTCTACTAAATCAATGAGAAAAATCTATTTTCATTTGATTTTAATCCTATTAAAAGCCAGGGTTTTTCTTCGGATAAGTTGGTTTTTGGTCAACGTAACTTATTTGGTATTGGAATCTCCAACAAAACCAACACACTAATTGAGTTGTTGCTTCCATCGTCGGAGGAAAATTAAAACTAGTTGCAATATTTAAACATTTTTTGTAACTAAAAAAACTTAAAATTGAATTTTGGGGTGAAAATATCATCCTAGAAGCATAGCTTTACTAACAACATTAGATTTGTTTTTGGTAAACGTTAGAGAACGCACGTTGCTGATATGAGTGAGTCAATTTCATGTTTTTGTAAAAACAACTCGAATTTCCTCACTCATGTTGCCATGACTGTATCGAGTTTTCAATTCTCTATCCAACGATGCCAAAACAAATTCTGGGGCTCAAATGGTTCTCGAGAAACTGCGAAAAAAGCAGCGTCATGTTTGAGTCGATTTTGGAACTCAAAGAAAATCCACGGACATCTAAAACTTCTTAAAACCAAGACTTTTTTGAGAAAATTGCCCACATTTCCTTATCGATGGTTCACTTTCTAGAAAGGCCATTTAGTTCTCTCCGAAATGATGTAAAAATGAGCATTCGTGCTCATTTTGCTTCCGAGAAATGGGCAAAAACGGGACGGAAAACATGAAATCTTGGCATAAACTTGCACCTAAGTGTCTGATATTTAAATTTCGCTTTCTGGGTGAAAACTACTCTAATTTCCTCACTCATGTTGCCATGACTGAATCGAGTTTTCAATTCTCTATTTAACGATGCGAAAACGAATTCTGTGGCTCAAATGGTTCTCGAGAAACTGCGAAAAAAGCAGCGTCATGTTTGAGTCGATTTTGGATCTCAAAAAAAAACACGGAAATCTAAAACTTCTTAAAATCAAGACTTTTTTGAGAAAATTGCCAACATTTCCTTATCGATGGTTCACTTTCTAAAAAGGCCATTTAGTTCTCTCCGGAATGATGTAAAAATGAGCATTTATGCTCATTTTGCTTCCGAGAAATGGGCAAAAACGGGACGGAAAACATGAAATTTTGGCATAAACTTGCACCTATGTGTCTGATATTCAATTTTCGCTTTGTGGGTGAAAACTACTCTAATTTCCTCACTCATGTTGCCATGACTGAATCGAGTTTTCAATTCTCTATCTAACGATGCCAAAACGAATTATGTGGCTCAAATGGTTCTCGAGGAACTGCGAAAAAAGCAGCGTCATGTTTGAGTCGATTTTGAAACTCAAAAAAAACACGGAAATCTAAAACTTCTTAAAATCAAGACTTTTTTAAGAAAATTTCCAACATTTCCTTATCGATGGTTCACTTTCTAGAAAGGCCATTTAGTTCTCTCCGGAATGATGTAAAAATGAGCATTCGTGCTCATTTTGCTTCCGAGAAATGGACAAAAACGCTTCTGGATAAAAACTTCTCGAATTCCCTGACTCATGTTATGACTGAATCGATTTCTCTGACTCTTTACATCTACATTTACAATTTCTAATACATACACACGTGAAAGCTGGATCAGCCTCTGCTTTTACTTGGGTACGTGGGTAAACCCAACAATTCAGAGACTTCTGGAACTCACTGTATATGGATTAAATCCAGGTTCTCTTATAATGACAAAGGCGATTGGAACAATTTGCAATAATTCCCCATTAGATACGAATGGCCAATAAAATGTGAAACGCTGATTGGACTAGTAAAATCCATGCTGATGCCAAATAATCAGCAAAATCATTCAGGGTGTCACGTACAAGTTTTCGATAATCCGATTTCAACTTAGAACCCTTAATTTTTACTGTAAACTACGTTATTGTGAAAATTTTATGACCTTTATGACTAATATGGGACGCTCAACGTAATATGCACACAACCTATGCAGATGTAACTTGTTAATTAATATTTATTGGTTGAAGCGATTTTGAAAGATTCGCGGATTTTAATTTCCTTTCGTTCCTAGAAACCGTTAATTTTCTATTCCATTGCACCAGTGGATTTTATAACATTGGAATGGCTTACAATAAACATGAAACATGCATAATAAAATCTTATCTAAATCAGGTCTCCCAAAGTTAAAATTGCTATTCTGAACTGCACTTTCCGCTGCGAGATTGAAAATCAATCAATCATTGAATTATATGACGGGGTGATACACTTAATTCAATATAAAATTACTATTCCTCCACTTTAAATGTCCTGTTATTGATAAATCGGCCAATGATGATTGGTTAATTTTAACGAGTTATTCTTTCCGATCAACCCGATGTCCAGAAATCATCAGTCAATGATAATCCCATAACCGGCATGTGTGAATGAATGCATATTTACTTCCGGGAACAGATGTTAAGCTTGTAGACTTTTCAATAAACACTTAGTGTACGAGTATATCTATACATCCCAGTCATTACTAATAGCATTAATCAAAGAAAATCTATAATTAATTCCGATTTGCGCACATGGGTAATCTGGGAAATGTTTTCCATGTGTAACGTTACACACTTTCTTTCAAATTTACGGGCGTAAATTTTGTTTTCTCATTACCTGCGAGAATACATTCGTGAGCGTCTTATTAGTTTTAACCGGGAAATCTGGAGGAAGTAAAAAATCTGTTTATTCAAGCAATTTTATAGAGTCGTTTGAAGTAATTTTGTGTCATTGTAACTCAATTCAATTTGCAAATTTCAAAGAAAAAATAGCAGCGATATGAAGGATATTTTGAAATAGTGCAGGATTTTTTAGGCAACCCAACTTAGTACATCCATATTATTTTTCCTGGACAAATTGCCTCCTCGTAAGTTTAATAATTGTTTAAATTTAGAGCTTCGCCAAAGTTCTGTGTATCTATGCTGGTAATATTTTAGAAAAAACTACATCAATCACTAATGATCAACAGTTCCAATAAATATAGTAAAGAACATTCGCCTGCTATTTACGTGTTTGACATGGGTTGTTTTGCAAAATTAATGCGACGATCTTTTCCTCAATTTGTTTGATTGGATATTAGTGAGATATTGAAATTTTTAATTATTCAAGTACCGAGATCGCTCTGCGTAGAAAGCAAAAAGTAATTTAGCACTCGATAAATTAAATCTAGGTCCAGATAAATAAATAGTTTTAAATTTATTTTAACTGATTTGCGCCTGGACATCTGTTGCAGGTTTAAATAAAAATGCAATAAAAATCCGTATAATTAATTTATTTGCAAAAAAATAAAAACGTATCTATTTACCATTAAGTAATACATCATCACAGCCATAAATTAGGAATTATAAAAATCACTTTACAAAAATGTACACATGTCGAGAGACAACATTCTTCTAATAATATTTGCATATCCATCGTTGTTCTATACTTTCGTTGAATTTGTTTTCATTAATTTCGTTGCTGCTTTGGTGACACATACAGGGCGTGATCTCATAGTCGAGCACAGTTATTTCAGTGGATATGCTGGCCCTTCCAAATGTGGACACCGAATAGGTCGAATTGTGGCGGCATTTCTTCTTGTGGTACTTCTTTTGGATGTTGCTGGTCCAACTTTTGAATACCTAGAAAAACCGTAAAATGTCACGACCTACTGTTGAACTATGAACTAGTCCTTATGAACATTGTTAATTGCGTATTTATTGTTTCTTTAAACAGCAAAAAACAGTTCAAAATTGATGGCGCCAACAAGAAACGACTACTTACTTTTAGGCAGTTTTGTCCAGCACCGGTAAAAAACTTTCTCACTGACATTTTAAGCTGTTTCTAATACTCTCGAAAATAATTAATGAATAATTTATTGATATGGCGTCGATTGGGATCAAGTTAAAGCGCTTCGAAACACTCACTCAACCCGGCGAATCAAAACGTAATAAACTCGGTCTCGGTTTTCACACAGTTTTATCAGTTCCTCGTCCCCTCCTTTACTTCCGCGCGGTTTGCACTTGACTCTGCACCCTCATTTTATCCACCCTCTAATTATTAACCAGCTAAAGGAAATGTAATGTCTGTTTCCCACACTTGAATAAAATTTGCTCGTGAGAATTATCCGTTTTCTACTCCCAGTGGACTTATTTATTTTCACTAATTTGTTGTTAGATTTTTCGTTTTTTGTCTAGTTTATCCATTTGGATCTGCAGTGATTCTTAGGTTAAATTCACATATCTCTCTTTTATTGGTATGACTCAACTACCGAATTTTTTCGCAACTTTTTACATAAAATTGTGGGCAAGTTTTCATATTGTTGCTCCCCGAAATAGTCAAATTAAAAGAGTTTACTGGGTAAATTCACAATAGATCTTTATTTGTATAAATTCCACATCACTACAGATTAACTGGTTATTTAGTTAAATGACGGTGAAGTTCTTGTTAGTAACAAATAACGTAAATTACAAATTAGCGTTGGTTATAGAAAAATAAATGGAATGTTGAAATTAGTGGATTTCAAGTGAAGAAGCGGATCCTGGTTATGAAACCATCGTCTTGAGTGGAATTTTCCCTTTTTTGCAAAATTCGTTTTGAGATGCTGCAATCAACATTTAATTGGAAATGGTCAAGTAATTTTCCATCGAGTTTGTGTGTCATATAAATATTTAGTCTGAAATGCCTATGACATTTTAGAGGCTCGGTTTTACGCAATTTCATCATAGTTACATGCATTTGACCCAGAAATTTCAGCTTGCCTGCTCATTAGCGCAATTTAACCTTTTTTGCGAAGTGCTTAGCCCTATGGCCTAAAACAGGTCGAATCGTCGATCAGCTTGGGTCACAATTCAATTAAATTGGTGTCAATTAAATACACGACCTTTCCCAGCTGAATAAAGGCACGTTTTCCATATTTGTACTGTATTATCATATAATGTGTCCTCTATAATACGCAGCTAGGATTTCATCTGTTTTTATTTACGCGTACTATATTTTACGTAACTTATTTACTTTATTCAGCGTCAATTGTATCATTTCAAGCTTAATAATCACTTTGAAATGAGGTCTTGCAGGTGAGGGATTTTCTATTGAGTCAATAACAGGACTGTTCTCAAAACTCGTTTCCATTAATTTGAGCATCTACCAGTGCAATTTCATACCTGCGTCACACAAGTGTGAAGCAATGATTACTTTTCGAAAAATTTGCCATTCATAAATTCGCAAGTTGTTAATTGTCTGCTCAACGAATATCCAATTGCTGTGATGATTTGGTTGAGGTGACATTGTAGCGGAAGTCCGTATATAACGGATACGGTTTTTTACTTATTTCAATTTCAAATAATTTCCATTGGATTCGATGTCGGGAAACCTGAAAAACGGATTCAGATCCGATTTATTACAGTATAGTTTTTTCCTGGACTCCTGGAAGGGTCAAGTGTATGTTGTTGTATGAAAGGCTAAAGACAAAGTCAGTATTAAAAATGCAAAAAGTTAATTTTCAGTTGAGGTACTGCTGTGAAAAACAACTACGACCATTTTGCTAAATTAAATATTTGTGAACTGGTAGAGAAAATACACTGATTAGTTCGTTGAACATCTGTCTGAATGTCTAGGATTATTATTGTTAGAAGAATTATAACATTTTAGTCAAATATTGGCTTCAAAATGTGAGACACTTACTTAAATTAAGCACACAACTCGCTCGAATGAAAGTAAATATTTTAATTTTGAAATTATTTACGCCTTAATTTGAAAATGTTATAGCAATTTTTTATAAGCACCCATCTACAATCTTCGATTCAATGAATAATCAATGCATGAATACTACCATTCAAATATTTGCTCTCCCACGCCGTGACAAGATAATCCCTAGAATTAAACCCTTTTTTAGCATTTTCAGCAAAGCGCTCGTATACAATCAGGGAGAGAGCGACGGAAAATGAAAATAAAGTTGCTTTTAGGCTGGTGCACGTCGGGGTTGTAGTGTAATGATACCATTGGGGTGGCTAGTCGTGGGAAATAGTTAGAAAGCCGACTCTCATACGTTGACGAAGTTTAAGCCCGTTTGACTACGGCCATACACACGCCAAGCTTTCAATGACTATCACCCTCCAGCAGCTCTAATTTTTCCACCACTATGGAAGGAAATTGATTTTCCATCGCTGTCCTTTTGGACATTCGGTCGTTCATCCAACTTCGAAGAATCGTCAAAGACGTTTGCTATCGTCAGGTTGACCATGAGTTCATAAAGTAGCTATAAACAATTGGCAAAACCAACGTCATATTGCTGATTGTTTTCAATCGTGTATTGTCGTCATTGGCAAAATATCATATGTAATCGATAATTTGCAAATTTGATTTCACCGAAGACTAGCGTATTATTTACATAAAGGGTGTGTAAAACCACTTAGATGATCACTTGAGTGTGCGTAAAACAGTCAAAGCTGTTAAGAGACTTGATTTTAACTACATTATGACGAGAACCAATTTTATTGATGCCCGTCAGGCATTTATGATTATTTGTCATCTGGTTATGCAAATGCATGGGGGAACGTTTTGATATATTTCGAGTTTTTCGCTCTAGTGATCCACAAAATGCTTTCAAACACCAGACATTTTTGCCGTAATTTATAAATCAAACGGCACTACATTTGATGGGAACCTACTTGGATTATTTGCCGATTTGATACATATAATGTAACTTTCCCCTAGGTGTCTGAAGCATTAGATTTTTGGGGTTGCAACTTTTGGGGTTATTTAACCCAACGTCACTTTACTAACTTTTACTAGGATAAATAGTGTTTTTTTGGGGGAAAAATGCAATTCAACAACTGAACAATGAACAAGTTTCGGTATTTTGTAATGCGGATACTATTTGCAACCAATTAATTTGGGTGAGTTGCAAAATAATTGTTTAAATGACGATTTTATTAATTTTAATTTTATAACTGTTGGGTTTTTTTTAAGTCAATACTGACGGTTTCTTCGAAATCATTAACCTCAACTCCAAAAACATTGTTTTTTATAGTTCCATGAGAAACGTGATTTTTAGCTGGTCATTGCTACAGCAGTTTAAAGTTGCTTGTACGCTTTTTCTGCACTAAATCGTAAACAGTCTTGCCATTAACTTGACTGTTTCAGTTTTCAAGCCTCGTTTTACTTTTCAAACAATTTCAAGCGAGTTTGCTTCAACACCCACGTATATTTAACGGTAATATTGGGGAATATATAGTATAGTTTCTGAAATGGCCCATATATTTAAGCCAACTAAAGATAAACGGGTGGGTTACATAAAACACTTCCAGGGTTCAATTTGCAAATTGGTATTCCCTCTAGAATCAGTAGGCAAGCCAGGATACCTAGGTGGACAGTTTTACATAATAAATACCTGAATAACATGGGTTTATCTACAGTTAAACTCCATATGTGTAGTACATAACTAATGAACTTCCGGTAATACCTTCAGAATAAAAGAACACGTGCAGAACGCTTGTCCCAAGTTTTAACCAACCGTCGTTCGAAATAATGATGCAAATTTGAAAATATTTACGCCGATTCGCCATTAAACCTGGACCATTGTGGACATTGGTCATCCTGTTATTGTTCTGTTTCATGCCTGAGAGGCTGCACTGTTCAAAAACTGGTTTTTATGTCTAAGGGTTGCAGTTTTAAGCTCTTATTTGCAAATCTTTTTATCAAACGGCCCCTCAAATTGTTCCAGTTTTTCTGGTTTTTATGTATTGCCAAAAGTTCCTGTTACAAAGGGACAATGGAATAGAGGGTCAAATAGTTTTGACCCTGTTTGTACTTTACTGGGGAATATTTCTAATGAGTTCTAATAAAGTGTCGCCTTGGGACAATGGAAATTGTGTCAAGGAAGAATGAAAGAATCACTTCGGGAATTATCACTTCTTTTATAATAACTGTTTGAACTGAGTGTGCATTAGGATTGGATCGTGCTGATTACGCAATGAGGAAATCCTTAATTTATTTAGGTAATACTTGCTAATTATCTCTAGGCGTATGTTCAAGTGCAATTCTTTTTGCAACACATCTTGTGCCTTATTTATTTTATATGGTTTTCTATTGAAAATACTTTTTGAACTGTCGAGGGGGGTCCTCAACTGTTTGCCCAGTTCGTTAATGTTAATGTTACCACTAATCCCACTAATCTTGACATCATAATTATTTGATTCAAGGGTAATATTCTTGACTAGAACATGTTAATGAACCCTATTGTGTGAAGCTAATTTCATGCTAATTGTTTCCAGAAATATCCGAGGTCCAGTTGATTGACGCGTTCTAGTTTCAATTTGTTAGTGCGTTTAGCTGACAGGAAAATTTCGAACGTTTCATGTTGATCAACATTCGATAAATTTTGGCAAATTAAGTCAACAAGTTATGATTTGGGAGTCAAACAGTCCTGGAAATCGGTCTTCATCCAAAAAAACCTTTGTAAAATGTTAGTTTTTTTGCTTGTTGTGGCCATTAACAAGAAAATTTCCCTGGTCTTTAGCTTAGTCATGTGCTAGTGAAGATTTGCTGATTGCGGCACATCGGCCTGGCCAGGAACCCTAGACTTAAACCCAATTGGTTTTAACGCGCGGAATTACCGTTTCAATTGTGTTGCTGCGTAAAAAAACACTCATTTTGTAGAACAAGCAATTTTTGCTAATTGCAACGAATTAGCTTTCTAGTTAATGATGACTATGTTTTTCGTATCCATTGCGGAATGAATCTGTTTAAATAGTAAAATTTTGTCAATGTATTTAGTTTACTTACTTTTGCGTTTTTATGATTTGCAGACGCGCCCGGTAGAAATGTGCCCTAAGATCTTAATTCACATGAAATGCAAAAAAATGCGGATGTAAAAAATAAATATTTATTTCACTTTGTATTAAAAAAATCACATACATTTCGCGGATCGTGAAACCGTCATAAGTTTATATAAAAATACATTGCCCTTCGACACTCTGCTTTACACTTAGCTATGTACAAAAAATAAGTTAGTTTAAGTAGGTACCGCAAATGACTAAAACCTACAGTGCTTATCACTTTTGACCAGAAATTGTTGACAGTGATTGCTATCTTGAATATAGCAACTAGGTATATTTAATATCACAACCTTTAATCTATGATTAAGAGAGCCTGGAGGGTATGCATTAGGCACTGGAGGCGGGACACATTAAAATCAATTGTTCACTCAGTTTCAACCGTTTGGTCAATAAGCAACTTCTGCCCCCCAAGGCCGGTAGGGCTTCATCCCTTGCGAAGTTGGAATACTTTGGTTGTAATTCTGGTGGTGACTAGATGATGGAGGTATTCCAAACGAGTTTACTGGTGGAGGATATTGGTGGTGAGGGCTGTAAGCTAAAGCTGAAGACGTCGTAGTAGTCAGCGGTGTTAAAAGTGAGGTCGAAGGAGGTGCTAATCGGCTCGTATCCGTTGAAGGCACTGGAGTTATACTTTGCGCACACGAGGTTGAAACATCATAATGCCCCAAATCGTGGTGCATATTTTGGTGATGAAGCGGGGGTGGCAAGGGCTGATGCGTATTTAACGAGGGGTGGTTGGGAGACGAAAGCGAATTCAACGGAGTTGAGTAAGCTTGTGAGCCTCCATAAGTCCAAGGAGCTGTAGCTGCTTGTTTCAAAGCCAATTCCTTTTGTGCTGCACAGCACTGTAGATGCGAAGTCAGTCTCAACCTCATTGGGTTTTGAGCGTCCATTCCTTCAATTCTCTCAAGGTACCGGCTCACTTCCGCCAGACATTCTCTAAACCCCATCCCATGGTAGTCTACAGCATATTTGTGCGGGTCAAATGCGAAGGAATCTAATCCTGCAAAAGAAGTATTTTTTATGAATTTTTTATAACTTGATTGTGACAGTTGCAACTACGTGCGGGTAATTTTTTTATAAGATAATCATGTTCGATAAAAAATTTTGATACAATCTGATGCTTTCTTAGGCAGTATCGGAGTAAGAAGATTATCTACGCAACAGGTGCGTCATTGTTACGTTTGCAACTTATCTAAAACCGATATTTGTTTATAGTACAATTGTTTCATCGAGCCCAGAACCAAATATTTCTCGACAAAAATCAAATCAAATTCTTAATATGAGGGCAAATAAATGCAAAAATTTTCAGCAGGTGGATAACTGCATGTGAAAAGGGTTAAATGGAAGTGGCGTGGGAATAGGTGGCGATATGAGGACGTCACGCCAGCTGGGCAACCGCATACGCTATTTGCCTGCCTCGTGGGAACTTTTTGATACCAATAAGGGCAACAGGTTTTCGTCCACAACCGTATGTTTTACACCCTCCGTTTAAGCTCTATCAGCTTTATTATTCTAAGCTAAGTTACGATAACGCGCTCAAAATACTCTCGATTGATCGAAGTTTCCATGATCTGTTCTGGTATTGACTGTAAAGAACTACTAATAACAAAAAAGGTGAAATATGCATTGGATATTTGAGGAATCACACTTGGAGTTGGTGAATTTTCGATCGAATTTCTTCACGAGTGACTTGTCAAAGGTCTGGAAGGAATTCTTCTCCGCGACGACAAAAAAATGCGAAAAACTCAGTAAGTGTTTTAATTAAAGTCCGGCTTTCCAAGTCGTTGTTTAAAAACGTTGTTTGTCGGTGGCCTAAAAACCCGAAAAATTCATCAGTTTCCAGCAGTAACCGCGAAAGCCTACCTCTGTTGATATCGAAGGAAAAGTTGAAATAATTTTTGTATTAACAGCTGAACCCCAAGAACGTAGTTAAATTATTTTATTTTCCTCAAATGTGAACTCATCATTAAAAGACGACAATTTCCGTTCACCAACCCCTAAATTTCCGTTCGTTTTTGCCAACTTTTTGCCTTAGTAAATAACATAAAATCAGAGTGAATGGAAATTCGGGCAATTCTACGATAAATAGTTCCGTTTGAAGGTAGTCATTTGATGAAACGCCTGACGTGCCAAAGCAATTACATCAACTGGGATTAGATCAATGAATGTGTAACAACGTTCCAATAAATTAATACTACGTTGTAACTGTATCTTTTAAGTCCCCCAAATTGCGAGTTGCCATAACTGATCTAGAATATAAAGATAAGTAAAATCCGTACCTTTAGCATGAAGCATTTTTAGATGATCGACCGTCATCTGCAGGATTTCCGCTTTCTCCAGCTTGGCGGAGCCCTGCTTCTCGAAGGCACTTGGAACGAGTCTCTTGAGTTCGGATAATGACATGTTGATGCGATCACGTCGCTTTTTCTCTATGACACCTCTTCGTTTTTTCCGTGACAACATCTGACAACTATCAGTATCACCAGGCGAAGTACATCTGGAACAACCGCATTTATTTAGAACCTTTGTTTTCGATTAAATCCTGGCAAATACATGGATTTTCTGCGAGACTTACTGGTCTTTGGAAGACTCCTCCGAGTAGGCATCATCACAATCACTTTCCGAAAGAGGTCTTTTAACGCCTCTGTTGACCGGCTGCCAAGAGGAAGCAGTGTTGGAAGACGAGTATCCCCAATGTAATGGGGGGTTCTGCGACAAAGAATGATCCATGGTCACTTATCACAGAATCACGGAAAAATTAAAAATCGGAAACAAGTCGCGTGGCAAAACGTCCGTCAGCTGATACGAGCGCGTGCATCAACGGCAGTCCGAATGTTGAAAGTGTTTTACCCTGTTGATCAAACGTCGGCCTTAGCGGCGCTCGGTCACGTTTTTACCCCCACTTTCATCCCCACCCGGTAGCCGGGCGTACACGCGACCGCCTCACCCTCACTGTTTCAACCCTGCACCGTTGTCGATTTTACGGTACCTATTTTCAACTAACGGGATACCGATCTTGAAACCACCCTCAATTGCATCAAAACACGCCAAACTTGGCAGGAATTTCTTCCAAGCCGACGAAGAAATTTCGACTTTTGAATTGAGCGTACAACTTTTAGTCGAGTTTTTCAAGACAAACTCAAACCAGCACATTCAACTACCAAATGCCCACAACTCCAGCCTCAACCCCCTTCTCATCCAGAAAGTTTCCTGTTTGCCATGATAAAAACTTCGCATAGACAACGTGGGTTACCATTGTTTTTGCTGTCTCTCCATGGAAAAAGTGTTCATAATGGAGGCGCGTGTGAGCACTAACAACTAAAATTTCCCATTCGTTTTCCTCCTTCGCGCTAATTCCTGAATGATTGCGTGGGGTGACTTGATTAGGACCGCCACAAATAAGGGTTTGTCAGCCGCTAAGCAATATTCGATTAGTGTTTTTTCTTCGCTCGTTGGCTTTGCGTATTAATTGTCGCGAGAAATTAGGAAAATGGACGGATCTAGCAAAAAAAGCAGATAACGAGGTTCAATTGATGAAGACCTTAAAAAAGTCCAGGTAGAAAGTTGGTTACCGTTAGCGTTGGAACGCCTTCCGCATTTGGATCGGCGTATGTCCAACCACTTTCTTTCATTAATGTCGGATTACGGTAAAATAATTGTATTCCCATAGGTATGAGAGGGCAGGTTAGAAAATTTCTAACTGTACCTTTGGGGTGATTTAAACACATGTTGAACCTGACACAGTGCAGTAGGTATCCGGCAGATCAGGTAGCTACTGTTTTTTGCTTGAATATACATCAATCAGAGTTGGGAATAGTTTCCTTGCGTATGATAAATTTGCAAAAATTTGCAAATTTTCTACATCCGATCCCTGAGATCCTCAGGGAACCTTCATTGCTTGAAATTATGAAATAGAGCCCTTTTGAAAGCAGTCAAACTCAGAGCACAAATGCAAGTGAATACGTACTAATACAGGCGCAAATTATTGCTAAGCTGAAGCCAATTCTTAAGCAAGAATACGACAATTTCTGGTTGCAAAAACAGATTAAATTTTGCTTTTTTGCCATTTTTTAGCATGGATTCAGGGCCGTTATGAGCCTAGTCACAAAAAAACCGACTGGGAATTAGTACTTGTGGGGATTTGCAGTTGCTACTCACAAACAGTGAGTCAGACATAAACACACTCAAAATATCCCATCGGGTTCATGCGAGTCATTAATTTATTTTGTATTTTAAAACAAAAGTTATAATGTCCATAAATACTTTTTCAATAAGTGTTTTTACATCCCCATTGAGGTGCCATTGAAGACATCAAATTAGAATTTTGAATTTTCTATGAAGCATTTATGTAGTTTTTTGCCCAGAGTCCGTAAGAAAGTTGTGACCATCTATCTCTTGTATATCTATGTAAGCAACAGAATATGGCAAAGATTCTAGAGGAGGCTAAACCAAACCTACGTAAAACGACCAATCAAAACCCGTTGCTAAAACAGGACCGCACCCCATAATTTCGTCCGAATGGAGTTTTTGTCTCAACCGCCTTTAAAAGTTCTCAAGTCGATTTTTAAGTGAACACGCGTTTTTCGCTGTTTCTGCCGTCGACTTGGCATCAATTTGCATTGAAAATTCTTTAAGCCAGCTGCTGTTGTTTAATTAGACTTCAAGTCCGAGCCTGCAAGTTGCAAACGCTCGAATCGAACTGCATTTTGACTTGATATAAAACCGATTAGCATGCGAAGGGTGGCGATCGTCGATGGAAGGGAGTAAATGGCCTCTTCCAAGGGTTCCGAACGTGGGAAACGCGAATCTTCAATAGTCACACCGTCGCCACGCGCCCTTATTGTATTCCACCCATTGCCCGATTTCGATTTCCAAACAAAATGAAAAAAACCTTAACGTGCGCTTACCTGGGGTTGAAATCCGTGCCCACGACTTTTTATAGGAGAGAATTAAAATTGGCCTGTGCTGGCGTGTGTGCCCTTTAAGGGCACATCGGAAAAGGTAAAACCTTTTTCTGATCATTTTGTCGCCTCTAAATAAAAGGAACATGTAAAGCCACCAAGTTGAAGTTAAGTGCCTTGAGCGAAAAACAATGAATTTAAATTAAACTTTTCTGTTTTATTGATCAACCATATTTCGGGAGAAACCGCAATATGTTCATTTAAAGAAAAAGTCAAGCGGTGTGAGTTCAGGCAATCTGCTGGCCATCTGGAAGCTGAAAAGCCCGATGCAATCGGGGAGTTCGGTAATTTGGTAAAGCAAGTTTTTCCACTGCGTTTTATTGGTATACCGACTTCGCCGTGCTCTTTGTTCAGTTTTCTTGAAAAAACATCAACAGGAAAAATTATATTCAATTGATCCACAACACTCTCTACCGGACGGCGCCGCATTTACCTTGCAAATACATTTTTGTATGAAAATGTATTCTAAAGCCAAATGACCACCTTTGATTCACGGAATTAAATTTGCATTAATTTGAAACTGATTTACATTGTCGGGACTTGGGTGTTCGATTTTGAAAGGCAGACAGCTTTTCAGCTTCAGCAGGAAACATTGTCTAAATTTATTTTCCTTTTCTATTTCAGAAAGTAATATTGCGGTCGTGGCTGATCGTGCCAGTTCGGCGTACTGCCATTGTTAAGTAACTTTGGACTCAGTATATTTTTTACATGGTGGTGTTACTCGTCTAAATTAGCAACTTCTTCCCGAAAATGTCGGGCGATGTTCAACCCCGAAAGCGAAAAGACAAAAAGAAACGAAAAGGTACAAATGATTTGCACATTTTATGTGATATTTTTAGCGAGCTTTACTTAGGTGCTCGATGCTCTATTTATAAAGTTTGGCACGTTGTTTATAAGCAGGAATTAATTAGATTATGAAGACCGATTTATTCGAACAAAATCAATTAATATCACCTGGTTCACCCGAAATGCAAATAAAATGTCACCAGAAAATGGGCCTTTTTAGATGAAGGGGATACTTATGGGCCTCTATCATCAAACGAGGACGTCACGATTCATTTACACAAGGATGGTGGCACGGGGGGAAACATCTGTGCGAAAATAGTTTTCTTCTTTCTTTTCTCCGCTCTAATTGTACTGGTCGGCCTTATCATTAAAGAAAACCAGGGACTGAATGAACGTAAGCGCAATCACTATTTCTTCAAGTCATCACTTGAAATAAAAACGCAATCTGTTGCTTTAGTGGACAGCGCAGAAGAAGAATCGCGTTTTTCACAAATCTTCGAAGGATGGGTGGATAAAAGTGCGGATGAACATGAAGATCATTCGCCTGAACTCCATAGCCATGAAGAAAGCAACGAGGATGAAGAGGAGTACGAAGATCATTCAGAAGAAAGCAATATAGAGGACTCCGAAGAAGTCCAGTCTCAGGAACTTGAACAGGAGGAGGATGAAGATTCCACCGCTAGATCTGAAGAGGACGATTCACACGAACTCTCCTCATCGCGCAGGTCGGAGGACGAAAGTGAAGTTGATGAGGATGAGGAGGACCAAAACAGCCCAGAGCTGTCTGAAGAAAAAAATGACAGTAGTGATGAGACTTTGCGGGATGAGGATGATGAACAGGAGCCCGAACAAAGTACGGAAATAAATGACAATAAAGAAAACAGCAGCGAAGAGGTTGGCGAAACTATCGAAGGCGTCGACGCCAAAACTGAAGACCCCGATATCAACGATTTAAACAAGGTAGCCAGAAACTGGTTTGCGTAAACATTTTTTACCCTTTTGCTGTTTATGTTTACGTTTACGTATAGGATGAAGATACTACTATTCCGGAAACTCAGGACGCAGAACAACCTGCTAAAGAAAGCTCCGGCCGTAAGTATCGAATCATTTCTAAATTCCGTTTATTTGGAAACTATTCTATAATGTATGGTTTTAAAAATTACCCAAGGTAGAGATTGAAGGTAGTGAGAAGTAATAATTTCTGAAGCGAAATGTTTGGTTTGCTGCAGTTGAAAGCAAATAATGATGCAAAATTCGCATTTGAAACTGATCGGGCTAAATAGAAATTGGATTAAGATGTAAAGCTGATCGCGGTTAAAAAAAATCTTCCAGATAACACATACAATTAACACGAATATTTTTGCAGTGGCTACAAAAATTGGCGTTGGACTAGCTCTTTTGACAGTAGCCTACAATGTGTTCCTAAGAAAGCGAAGATCCGGTCAGTAAATGCATGAAATTGTTGATTTTTCCTGCTTTACATCTTTTATTTGCAACTAACATTGCATTTCCTGGGGGTTCTCAGCCTTCTTTACACTGATACTAAAGCCCAATGGATATCTTTCGATTTTTACTAAGCATTAGGGGATAGTTTGTGGCTTTTGTATTTGTCAGTAGCTTTTGATGTTAAATCGAATGTCTGCATTACGCACAAGGCTTTTTAAGTCTTTTTAAGTCTTCAGAGGAAACGTCTAATATTTTATTCACTGCGCTGGAAAATCTGCCACTCCGTATTTAATACCAACAATCTTGTAGCCTACAATTTGTCTTCGGTTTGTTGTATACTCCCTGTAAACGCCTGCACAATAAGCTATTAATATTCACCCAAGTTTGGGACTAATTTCCTGTTATCTTTGCCTATATTTCTGCCGAGTATTATCTGAATTCGGAATTTAATAAAGATGTATTGGAAAAACCAATATTGAAAGCCCCTAAAATGGAAGAGGAAGAAATAACATCAAGTTTATCCAGACGAAATACCATTGTTCCACCACCTACGCTTCAAGAAGTCGAACAGGACTTACCTGAAATTGAAGTGGAAGATGAAGGTACCACTGATTTCTTTAATAAAGTATTGAGTACATCTAAATAAGAGTGTTTTCTAAAATCTATAGAATATACTGAAGAAGAATATAGCGATGAAGATAGTCATAGCGAGCATCGATCTCCGAGAGAGGAATATCAAGAACTTAGAACGACGTACTCTCGGTCTTTGACTCCCGAAGGTTAGATACCATACAAAGTGTTCGTCATCAATATTAGCATTAAGTAAAAAATGGTTGATTAAAAACGAAACACTCATGTTTTGGCAATGTTTGTCAACTCCGTTCAATCAAAAGAGATAAACGCTCACAACAAGCGTGTTTCGTACTTAGTGTGATACCCGGTTAAAATACTGGAACGTCTCAAACAGGAGATTTTGAAGTAAAAGACAAGAATTATGAGGAAGAAGTTCTTGAAGACGAAATCGAAGAAGAGGAGATCGAACCGGAAGAACTCGATGTAGAAGACTTAGAAGACGATGTCGATGACGACTACAACAGATATGACGAAGACGAAGACGAAGAGCTTCTTAAAAGACTGGAAGCAAAATACGGGAAATTAGGCAGAGGTAAAGAATTCCAATGTTTGAGCTCCTTAAAAGTGAATAAATTTGTAATTTGTAAGCGAACTTTTCTACCTTGGGTAACTTTTCGAAATCATTCAGCGTGTTTTTAAATATCAGTTTAATACGTCTTGCAGACATCAATGTAGGGGACGAACTGGAATCAGACTCTGACAAAGACGACGATGAACATTCAGACATTACCAATAAAGATGATGTTGCTCTTAAAGAAGATCTTGATGCTGCGCAACACCAACTTGATAAGGTAAAGAAACTGCCTTTATATTTTGATTTAAATCTTTGAAGTAAATTATTATTTTCAGGGGAAATAAACTAAAGGCAATTTCCCTCCTTTAAAGTCCTTGATTACAATGCACTACAAAGCTGTTTGTTTTTAATTGATTTAACTTGGTGTTGTTTTAATAATGGAATGTTTCTTTTTAGGAGTGCATTTTAAAATATTTTAGTACAATATTCAATGCGTCTTAACGTCTGCGTAGATATTTTTCGTTTTATTAATCGATTTTTATTAATACACCGCACCTCTATTAATAAAAATCGGTTGTTGATACAAGTATACTTTACTTGCGGGTTTTTACTAATATTCTTAAACAATTTAACATACATATTGGGATTTGCTATTATTTCAACTAACTGTTTTGTTTAAGTAGAATGCAGCTTACGCTAACAAAATGTTTGAGGCACTTCTTGAGCAATATCCACTTTCCCCTCGGTCGCTTTACGGCAAAGCCAGAGCATTAGATATTTTAGCTGAAAAAAAGCAAAGCAACGATCTGCTTTACGAAGCTCTAACTTTTTACGCAAGAGTTCTCAATGCTCCTAAAGTACCTGATCGTTTGTTCATAATTAGTGCTGAACGTCACATTGATAGAGCTCGTTTTATGGGTGAGTGTTTCAAATTGAGAGTTTTTTGGCATTGTGTTCGTATTTGCTTGGTTTTACAGGACAGTATAAGAAAGCCATTGCGGTGCATTGGCAAATTATCGACAGATTTCCGGACAATTCCACCTACTTGAATAATTTAGCTGTTACATATTTGACCGTCAACCTGTAAGTCGGCTCTAAGTTTTGCTTACATAATATTGATTATTTTTCATCTACAGAGTTGAAGAAGCACGATCTGTACTGAAAAAAGTAATTTCGAAGTGGCCCAATGATGGGTTCGCTTTAGTCCATTACGGTTTTATCTTGAAGACTGTAGATAATAATTTGGAAGAAGCCATCCAGTATATGTCGAAAGGGCTAAGAACTGAAGCTGCTGGCGTTGTTGACGGTAGATTTTACTTCCACCTAGGCGATGCACTTACCCGTGTAAATAGAAAAGACGAGGCTGATAAAGTACGTATTGTAATAACCGCTGATTTGCTTTTATGAAACAACGTTTGGTTTTAGCTGTACGAAGAGGGTGTTGAGAAGAAAGTATTTCGATCCAAGTATCAAAGATCACTGTACAACGTAGATCGACTACCAGCCAAGCCTTGGTTGAACCCGAAAGATGTTCCCTCCTATCAGACGCTTTTTGCTGCCTTAGTAGAAAATTGGAAACAAATCAGACAAGAAGGCTTGTCTGCGCTAAACGACCAAGGATACTTTCAGGATGAGGCAGAAAACCTTAAAGACTCAGGCACTTGGAAGCAACTGGAATTGTTTGCTCGTGGCCGAAAGTTTGCAAAGAATTGCGAAAGAACACCCATAACATGTTCAGTTATTGAAAGATTTCCGGAGGCGAGCCGATGCAAAAGAGGCCAAACTAAGTTTAGTGTCTTGCATCCGGGAACACACGTGTGGCCGCATTGTGGCCCTACGAATTGTAGACTAAGGATACATTTAGGGCTCAAAATTCCTGCTGATGTCTTTTTAAGAGTTGCAGAGGAGACTAGGTGAGTGCAAAAATGTGAAGTTCTTCAGAATAGTTTTTTTGCTTCAATTTAGGGGATGGAAAGAGGGCGATATCATCATGTTTGATGATAGCTTTGAGCATGAAGTCTGGCATAATGGGACTGAGTTTAGGCTGGTCTTAATTGTAGACGTTTGGCATCCAAATTTGACTTCTATGGAGAAGCAAAGTCTCTCGGCAATTTAACCTGTAGATACCATTACATATTTTTATGTACAACGTAGTTTTAGTAAGTGATTTTTTGTATCAAAACTTGTCATGTTCCAAAATACATGTAAGATGAATACTTACTTAATGGGTTTTGGATAAAATCGCAATCGATGGCTTTTCATAGCAGGTGGGTTCCCATGGCTCCATGCCTTTAATCAACATTTTAATTGAGGTAAAGCAAATTAAAACTTCCAAGTAGATAGTAATGTTTTAATCAACGTATTCAAATGTATTAAACTAAGCATACTTTTCTTAGTAATGTTAACAAAATTAACTACATAAAACAATTCAAATGAATCAAAACGAAATAGAATGCAACATTTATAAGTTATTAGAAAAATAACTTCTCTGTGATATATAGCTACCCTTGAGCAGGGTATTATAGGAGGCATAATTTACACTTGAGATTAGGAGATGGGGTGATAAGTTGAGACCCCTAAAACAATAGTGCATTGAGACTTACTTGTGGACATACATTCTTTCAAGATATGTGGCATACAATAATCGTTAAGCACCGATATATTAGTTCATTTTTATAAGATTATGATACATGCTTATAGGAGAATGTAGCAATAATTTTTGCACAACACCGTTTTTCCCGATACAAGATCAATAAATAACAAGAAGCACCTAAATATTCTCTTACATAAAATCTTACGGTACTTTAATTAAAGCTGCGCATAAATGCTAAAATTAAAATGATTGATACATTTGTCCATACTAACATTATCTAATTACGGTTATATTGCAGTGACTTATTTGGTTTCCTGGTATAGCAGCGAAAATGTATCAACCAATTTATTTTTAATATAGTCCAAATATGCATAACGCACAAGGTAAAAGTGTTTTATCAATATAAGGTCACTACTGAGGCCGGCAACATTTTTTAGAGTAAGATTGATTCATTGAAAGAAGAAAAATAAACAATTTTTTACACAGCCTTTTGAAGCTATTGACATTTTAAAAATGTGGCTCAATTTAAAAGGTTTATCTAAAATAGTTTTCGCAATTAAGGCAGTTAATGGTTTCTTCCATAACAAAGCCAGTAAATGTTGCCTATAAGGAAGTTTGATTTTTGTTTTTCTACACCAGTATTTTGTTCTGTAGAACTCAGGTCTATGATGATTTTTTTAAATACAGCTCACGAACAGCAGCACATATATTGAAATTAAGAAGTATTTTGCAACAATGTTAAGGCAGTAGAATGCAAGACCTATTCCGAGCGATTCTATTCATTGAATAGAAATGAAAAAATCTATAGAACAATCGAGGACAAATAATACAGTAAATGTTAAATATCCCAGCTGAATAAATGGTGTTTAACAAGCATGTCACGCACCCCCTCTTTCAGTGGTTGATTATTGGCTTCTCTTTTCACGGGTAGTTCCCAATCGGGATTTAAATTGAATGAGAGTTGAGACAATATTCTCAGTTCGCACTTGATTTGAACCCATCCTGGGCTGTATATGAAAGACCATGGATGGTACCTAAAATGGCAAGATTATTTAAAAAAGATGAATCGAAGGTTTGCAATTCTAGTCAATTACAGCTTGAAAGGAGATTTCGTGAATTTTTCCATCATGTGTTAATACCCACCATTTTTGAACAATCTCACTAGATGAGCAGAGCACTTCAAGCCATAGATGCAAAACTTGTTCATTTAAGCCTATACAGATGAGCGATCTTAGTTTGACATCCATTTGAGCGTGAGCGTTATCGTGTGAAAGATTTACAGATTGGACACACCGGTAGAGTAGCTGAAAACACTTCAATTTTATTAAGTACTTACTTATGAATACCCAGCTCGAGATGGATTTAATCCTTACCTCTTCAGGAGTTAAGACTTTTCCATCTTCATCTAATCGATAGGTTTTGCAGAGCACCAACCGGCTGTAAACAGAATTAAAATCTTTTTCAACCTCTTTCGTTGCCGCCTCTTCTATGAACAGCCATGGATGACATGGACTACCTAAAGGATTACGTTTCAATGTTTTGGCTGGTGCTGTTGATAATGTTTGTAGTTACTTAAAAAGTTTGGACGCTTCATTCCATGTTCGAATACTTGCTTTATCACAGGGCATAATACGCCACGCACGAGATCAGTGATAGTTTCCGATATACTGTCGTCGCCAGCACTACTATACTGCTTGCTTCGTTCATCCAGTAGCTGGACAAACTTCGCTGGAAACCATCCTGCAACAATCGCTCAGACAGATAGATTTATACTTGATTTCACTGCTTTTTTACCTCGTAATCCATTCAATTCGCCTACCCAGCAATGCTCGTCTTTTTGGCTAATAACAGTGATTATATCATTTTTTCGGAACCCCAACTCATCGTCATCATGTCGCTCAAAGTCCAGTAGTGCCTTAGCTCTACGCCGTTTATTCTGCGATACATTTACGTAGTTTGCATGATCCTGAGCGTGACTTTCCATTGAATAATCAGCAATCAGTGAAATCTCTGAACTTAGCTTTGGGTCTAGTTGGAGAAAATGTCTCACCACCTAAATTGTGGTCTGATAAAAACAGACATAAATTGACGAACTTTTTTGTACCTGGAGGATGGCTTCTCGGAGGTCAACAAGAATTTCAGTCTGTTTAATATTTTTACTTTTGATTTCATCCTCAGTAGGTTCATTAAAAAGAAGCAACTGAATCACTGACTTGTTCTTCTTTACTTGCCTCCTGCAATGTAAATGATCCCAATTACGTCCAGAATTTTCCTCCATTGGATATAATCGGTTCAAAATCTCAACGTTTAACAAACATATTTCAAAATGATAATTCGGGCAGGAGTCTACTACAGCTAGCAATAAAAATCGGATGATAGTAAATATAGATGCTTTATTTGTGAGAAACAGGTATATTTCAATTTGGAAAATTTCAGTGACCACAGAATGCAAATTTAGAATTATTTACAGCGTAAGCAAACCGTTTGTATCTTATTGTGCAGTTTCATTAATGACTCAGCAAGTATTGGAAAAATGACTAGACATTCAGGGATTCAATCCTAACTACAATATGATATAATAGAACGACCATCAAATTCTGCCAGTAAAATACAAACGGATTGCTTGAACTGAAGGGAATTGCTATTAAAAAATATATCTTCACAAGTTCGAATAGTTTTCTTCTGTGCATCTTATAAAAAATATTTCAACAAAGTATCACTAGACAATGGAACACTATATAGATATTCCAATCACTAAAAAATACTAAAAGTTGACTCCTGTGATGTAACCAAGTAAATGTGTTAAATCTCTAACAATTTTAAAAAGAACTTTCACAAATACCTGATTAAGTTTTGATATTTTGACGTTGATCTATACCAACAAGCCTTAAATTAAGCACGGCAATTTGTTATTGGATATACACTGCGAATAGGCAATTACCGAAACTTACTTAAAAACTATTATAGAGGTATTATTCATCAAAATCTTTTCACGGAAAAGGCACTTCATTAAAACAAGTCAAAAAACGTTTGCATATCACAAAGTGTATAAACGTTTACTCTACTCTCAAGTATATTCAATGCATTCACCTTGGAAAAAAATGTAAATTACAAAACAATAAGTCTACATAAAAGTATATTTACAATTAGGTACTTAAATCGCTATGAGAAATGGTACACAGCGGTCTTTTGTCTAGTTAATACCAAACTATATTTTTACTAAATTAAGTTATAATAGCTTAACATAGAACAGGTAAAAATATCACTTCGATTTATTGATCCATAGGGGACTATATGTATACAATTAAATCTCTCCGCAGAACCGAATTAAAAATGATGGAAGTAACTACAGGTTTACTTCATGGCGTCTTTTAAAATAATCGGCTCAAGTTCAAGGGAGGAACTTGCATCATATCAGTAAACATATTTTGCACATTAAATGCTTTCTATTCATTTACGATGTTAAGTTTGGTTTGTACTGTTATTGTCACCTAAATTATTATTGTTCAACGTATTATGTACAAACAATTTTTTTTGCTACCAAAAAATGATTAGCTAACGCATATTAACTATGATAATCTAATGAATACAATGTTTACTAGTCTAGAAGATATTTTTTCTACTATTCACATATGTATATCGGATCTAATTTCAAGTTCTTAATTCTCAATAACTTTTCTTTCTAGTTTTACAGAACTAGAAAGACAAGTTATTCTTTTGACTTCGTGATGGTTGGTAAATAATATGCATCATACAAATCATGTGAACAGCATTTAATACGAGTATTTTTCGATATCGAACGATGTTTTGAAAACAAAAACAATATTTGCAACTATTAGTGATCGTATATCCGACAAAACATGTTTTTAGGGGTATATTACTGTCAGAAAATTTAACAATGCACCATTTCGACTGCTAAAAGAAAATTTGAAAAATCATAAAGATTTGTACACAATTCCAGAGGCAAAGTCCTGGAAATACAATGGTTTAACTGGGTAAATATGAAAAGATATTCGACGTATTTTTAACTGCTTTATAAAAAATGGCCGGCAGCTTTTACTGGAACTGTGTAACCCTCTTTATATTGTTGATATGAATAAACAATTCGATAACAAAATAACAGTCTAAATGACTTGCCATTTGAAGTCAATTGAGGAAGTTGAATCAAGTATCGATAAATGGTTGATTAGGAATTGACAAACAAATCCAAGTACATAATGTATAATCCAAAGCTAGCAGGCGCCCATTTGTATAGCGTCGCAATACATAGTCTGAATGTGAATGTTTATGGTCCCTTACATGCTCTTTGTCCTTATCGCGAACTTCCCAAATTTTTACCACACCCGAAGCAGTCCCACCGCACAATTGTTTACCGCTTTTACTCCAGGCCAAGTGGAACACCGATTCACGATTTTTATATTCGTGGAAAATTTTCGAATTTGCTAAATTCCATATTTCCACTCTTCTGTCATCACTGGAAGCTAAATACTGCCCATTTGGCGAAAAAACCACTGAATAAATTTCCTTTTTGGCTGCGTGCAACAGGCGCACTGTTTTTGCGTTATTTAAGCACCAAACTCTGATATTTCTATCAGCGGATCCCGTTGCTAGATACAATGAATTTGGGTGAAAATCAGCACACATTACAGCCTCCGAATGTCCAGCAAAAATCCGCATCAATTTTCCAGATCTTAAACTCCACAGTCTCGCAGTACCATCATGGGATCCAGATGCCAAGTATTTAGAATTGCGACTTATTGCTAATGAGTATACGGGACCTAAGTGTCCAAACAGTCTTCTAACAAGCTTAAATTTACTAAGACTATAGACACATATAGTACGATCGGCAGAACCTGTACATAAAATCTCATTATTTGGACATAAAGCAATACAATAAATTTGCTTTGAATGATGGATAAATCGGACGTGATCCGCAAGCATCTGAGCTGGCATAACTTTCAATATATTCCTTTCCACAAAAGCAACTAAACCTGCGTTACTCCTGACAATTCCACAGGTAACGAAGTGTTTGGTATTTACTAATCGAAAGTTACCAACGCCAGCAGGCAATTTTCTAATTTTTTTAATCACACTTCTAATTTTGCTTTTCTGCTGGGATAACTTCTGTTTTTGTGCCATAAAATCATCAGTTTCCATTTTGACAACTCTGCTGTTCTGTTTGACTGTACCTTTAAACATCTTTGAATCGTTATTTTCTGGACTAAGTTTTTCGCAGTACAACTGTACGGGTTCATCTATACTCATTGTGTTATCATCGACAAAAGCGTTTTGATCCATTCCAACACTTTTGGGCGTTTCCAATAAACTTTCGTGAAAATTATTCGCTTTCTCAAACTTGCACTTCCCCTGATCAAACCATGTTTGAAAACGTTGTGCAAATTTAACACCAGACATTGTATGACGATGGCTAGCCATAAATTCGGTCAGAAGTTTTAAGGATTCGGGTTTCAGGTCAAGAACAGTTTTAATGTGTGTTTTGAAAAATAAATTACCTGGCGCTTCACTTTTGCTTTTACTAGCATCTCTGATTTTCATATACAGACTGCAAAAGAGGGGACCCGCAAGGTTCTCTAAATCATAGTAGCTGTACTTCTGGTGGTCAGTTTGCTCCTTTATCACATGTAACAACTTTTGATACATGAAACTATACTGACACTCTATCAATAATTGATCGTCATCTTCCTGGTCTTCGCTTTGAGTCTCATCACTATAATTTGCAGAACTGCACGTTGAACGTTTTGTCTTCCAGGAGCATGAAGAAGCTTGATCGGGTTTTTTCGAGATGTCTTCTGTAAAGTTATAGCTACCTTCACTTGGAGGAACTTCCTTAAGGTCAAACCACGACTGCACAGCTTGTAGCATTACCATATGAGATTTTGTGCGAGATTTCCAGGATATAAATTGCTTTAGAAGTTTCAGTGATTCTGACTTGAGATAAACAACAATTTTCGTGGACCTAAATACATTCCTCAGATCTTCAATCACTAAGTTGTCTGTGCCGTTCAAAACTCCCATATTGTCTAAGCTTGCTTCTATACCGGTTATAATATCTTGGATATTGCTATCACACTTTGACCTATCAATTTTGTCAATATGTGTCTTAAAGAATAAATTGCTTGACTCCTCATGGTACTTATTATTATGCTGAATATCCAAATATAAATGGCAAAACAAGGGGCCCACTATTTTCTCTATATCATAACACCTTTGCTTCTGGTCGGTTTGCTCCTTCAGCCAATGCATGAACTTTTGGAACATGAAACTATATTCGACAAGCAATTGGTCATCTTCATCCTGCTCATCGTCACAATAATTCACGAAACTGTTCATTGCAGTTCTACTTATTCTAGCACGTAAGGATGTTTGTTTTAGTAAATTTCTTTTGGAAATTATTCGGGGTTTAACATACGAAAGTTGCCTTCTATTTATGTACACGGACACGACGGATTTTACATGGCTTTTGTTATCATCCATAATATTCCCGCACTATTAATTTCCGGCAGTTTTCATCCGTATTTATTTGCTATAAACATATTCGAGCAAATAAACTCCCGTTAAACATTTTCCACGATTTTTAGGTTACGTAGCGATGTCATTGATTGTGAATTGTGACAGCGATCCGACTGTTCTTCGAAGAGGGGCATAGCTAGCGCGAAATTCAAAATACATTGTTTTGGAAAATAAATTAAAAGTTGTAGATAAGTTCTGTATTGTTGAGGCGGATTCATTTTTTTTACAAACTTTTTGTTGGGTATTTGGACTAACTTCAAAACTGAAAATTCAATTAGAAGTAAAATTTCAGTAACAAAACCTCATGATATAATTGAAAATACAAAAAATGTAATTTATGAAATACCTTGCGAATGCAATAAATTTTATATAGGAGAAACCTCAAGACCATTACGCAAAAGACTCAAAGACCACCAATCACACATAAAAAACAGAGAATATCATAAATCACACATTTGTCAACATGCATTTGATAATTACCATAAAATTTAATGGAATAATTCCACAATTTTAACAAAAGAACAATCTACAAAAAAACGTAAAATTAAAGAAAGCGCGCTAATTTTACTAAATCAAAATAATTGTGTTGCTTCATGTTCATTTAATTTAAGTCATATATACTATGCTAAAATCTGAAGTAGACCAGAGAAACATACACCCAAATTAAATTTACACCGAAATTATTAATTAACATTACCTTTATTAATTTAAACAATGAGATTAAGTCAAAGTCATATAACTAACAATTTGCACAGACGAATTATCAGAGCGAATTTTCATATGCTGTATTATCCTACTATTGTTACACAATTTATTAACATACTTTTTTTTAGGTTCATTTAGGTTCTTTTGATAACGATAGCAGAAAATAGCTATCGAAACGTCAAG